TTCTGCTCCCAGAGACCTCCCGAGCCTCCGCAGATCTGTGGAAGTTTGCGAAGATGCATGACCGACGCAGCTATCACCTTATCCGGTTTACCATGGCTTCCGCAAGTGACTACCGCATTGTAGCCAGAGCCATAAGAGAGCTGTCCAACCGAATCTCGTCAAGCACATCTGCAACCACGACCATGCTTGAATCGTTGCTTCCTTTGATATACCGCAGCAGCTCTCTAATTTTCAATAGAAGCCACATACCCTGGATTATGAAGATATCAAGGACTGATGAGCATGGGCTAGGCAATATAGCGCATGAAATTCTCCGCGAAACCTCCACACAAAACCCGGAAGTTCTCGAAACTCACGTTCAAGAAATGTGCAAGGACCTAGAATCGCAGGCTCCTAATGCACAAAACAGTGATGATCCAGGGGTCGAGGAAATTCTGAAGGCCTGTGCTGGGTTTGCCAAAAAGCTGCCCGCTAAACTACCAACTCATAAGCAGTTCCAAGTTGCTCTGACGAATTATGCGATGTACAGCTCGTCCCCCATTGCTGCAAAGTGCGCGGTTTCTATAATCATGGCAACTTCCGACAAGAAGGAGATGTATGCCCGGGATCTTATCAAGAAGAGCGTGCAGAAATTCACTTATGGATCAAGCCACTTCTTAACTAAATTAGCGGCTCTCTCTCAACTTACCCTTCTGGCATCCAAGGAGGTCGATAGGGAAGAAGACGCCATTCTCAGCATTGCTACCGACCAGATACTATTCAAAAACCGCAACCCAAAAGAGAAGTCCGGATACTCATGGTCTGATGAAGCTGATGAGGAGCTACAAGCGAAGGAATGGGCATTGAAAATCCTCGTAAACCGAGTACGCTCTAGAGAAGATTCGGATGACGATGAAGACTTCAGACAATACGCAGACTCCGTCTATGCTATTTTAAATACTCTCGTCGAGAAACAAGGAGAGCTGTCTAAGACAGAAGATACCCCTCCATCGCAAAAGTCTAGGCTTCGTTTGATGGCTGCAAAATTAATAGTCAAGCTTTGTGCCTCAAAAACAGCCTTTGACCGAATGTTAACACCCCAGAACTTCAATGCCATTGCTCTGGTGACTCAGGACCCTTTGCTTGAAGTAAGACAAGGGTTCGTCAGACAGGTCAAAAAGCTACTAGTTCAAAAAACCAAATCTCAACCCTCGGTGGTACATCATTACATTCCTTGTCGCATTCGAACCCAATGGGAACTTATACGATAGCACACTTACATGGATCCGGTCAAGGGCATCCTTCTTCTCCCGCCGACCAAGCAGCTCAGCCGCTGGCCAGGACCAGCAATCATCCCAAACGACTATGGAAGCTCTCTTTGCTCGGCTTCTCTCTGTCCTTGCTCACCACCCCGACTACCCACCCGAATCATCCGATGAAGCCACAACTGTGGAGGACCTAGTTGACTTCACCCGATATATCCTCTTCTATCTCTCTGCAGTTGCAAATGAAAATAACCTCTCTCTGATATTCCACATTGCACAGCGTGTCAAGCAAGCACAGGATGCAATCTCAGACCCCGAATTATCACCCATCATGTCCGCCCGGTTACATACCCTTTCGGACCTGTCTCAGGCCACCATCCGCAGGTTCTCAGAATGTTACTCTCAACAACATAAAATTGGTGGAAGCGGCAGCAGTGGGGTAGCAAACATCCTCCAGACATTCCCTGGAAAAATGCGACTCCCCAGCAGCCTATTTGCAAATATTCCTAGCCACGAAGAGGCCCAATCAACAGCTGAGAAGAACTTCCTGCCAGAGGAGGTTGAAGATAGGCTAGACCGCGTTGTGCGACGGTTCATGAAGCCGAAGACTACCAACGCAAGCTCCGCAGCCGGGAAGAAACGGAAGATCGAATACAAGCCCAATGCCAAACCAGCCGCCGACGATGACGATAACGACGCATATGAGAACGGAGGATCGTCGAAAAAGCAGCGCAAGGAGAAAAAACAAACATCATCCCGAACTGTTCCCATTCGCAGGAAGTCTACTGGGGGCAGTCACTCCAAGGAACCCAAACGCAAGAAGAAGAAGGATGGAGAGGATTGGGGTTCTGACGCCGACGAAGAGGTCAAGTCTACATCAGCAACAGCCCGGCGGAGAAGTGGTAGAGGTACAAAGAATATGAACGTTAGTTACGCGGAGGGTGACAGCGACGAAGACGACAAAGAAATGCAGGCGTGGGATGAAAGAGAAGAGCAGCAAGTCGAAGTCCCTAGCTCGGAAACGGAGGATAACAGCGACAATGACAGTGACGAAGAGAACAACCTTCCGCAGGTCCCTGAAGATGCCGACATGAGCGATGTTCCTCAGGATCTATCAACGCCAGAGGTATCTTCGTCTCCAGCGCCTGAGCCATCCTCTCCCATCCCGGAGACTCGAAAGCCCAAACGAGGCCGAGCAGCAAAGTCCGCGCCCACGGCTGTGAAAAGTACACCAGGCAGGCCAAAGAGAAAGGCTAAAGCGTGAAATTGATATACTAATTTCAACCAATGCTCTGTTTTACTTAACGCTGCCCATGTCTTTTCCTAAAATCATCCCCCTTTGATTTGCCGGCATTTGATCTCCATCTCTACAATAACTGAACATCTCTGTGAATATATTCTCGCCTTGCTCCTTTTCTTTAGTTCCTGTTTATTTCTATTTAGTTGCTTGTAGTTATCGGAGCGGATATCTAAATCATGTAGGTATGAAACTAGACGGACTCAAACACTGCCGCCTCCATAAGAACTTGTATTCGCATACTACCACCTATTTGAACAAAGATCTACACCAACACCTCCCTAATTAATGGAGAATAACAGAGACGCAGATATGATATGCATCATGTTCCAACGAAGAGAAGGTAAAACAGAGAAGGTACTAGAAGGTATATTAACGAAACAGAACTTTAAAAATAAACGGTAGGAGCGTACAAAAGATGCATCATGCCAAAAAATAGATATTGAATCTGCTCGAATTCCGTCGAGAGCCCAGTGAAGTACGTAGTTAAACGGAAGGGAAAAGGGAAATACAGACTGACAAGTATCAATGGCCGGCTGGCAGGGTGAAATGTGAAGATGGTTAAGGGTGTGTGTAGAGGGTATTTGATTCCGTCCGTCCCGTTCAGTCCCTTTGGCATTAAGCCT